GTAACATATGTTCCGGGCCAGAGCCGTAGCTAGAACGAAAATTGTAAAGGTGCAAACGAAATGTTAGAGGGTGCACTTATTGTTTACAAAAATGAAATCTCGAGAGACTTGTTTTGTCAAAAAAGCAAAAAATATATAAAAAAACTAATTTTAGCCAATATATATTATATATTAAAAAAAAACAAAAGGTGTAACATAAAATAAACGTAACACAAATATAAGTCAATCGAATCAATATTTAAGCATACATAAAAATATTAGATAAAAATATAGTTTATCTAATAAGTACAATTTATTTATAACAATAGAAAAAAGCTGGAATATATTCATTAAAATAGTTGCAACCTTCTCTCTTTGGCATTATGAAATTCTTTTAGAAGTGTGTTCATGTCTATATTTTTAGTTCTTTCCTTTTCGAATGTAATCAGCGACGTTGCCAACTTGTCAAGCAAGAAACAAGCCTAGAGCTAGAATGTCCTTAACTTCACTTTTCAGATGTCTGAATTTGAGTTATTTAAACTTGTTAGGTACTTTTGAATCAAATTGTATAATTCTAATAACCATTATTGTACTCATACTACAAAATGTATGTAGGTATTATAATTATCAATAATAATAATTTTTATTCAATTTATTGTAATAATAATGCACAACAATTATTGTATATTTGTGATAATTAATTTACAATGTACAAAAATAGTACTATTGTATATTTTTATTTTACGATTCTGATCGTGATCGGTCAGAGGGTGCCACTTAATATCCAGAGGGTGCCAGGTACCCTCTCGCACCCCCCTGGCTACGGCCCTGTTCCGGGCGTTTCCGGCCGGGGGGACTATGTTTTTCCGATTCAGCGGATTTTTTTACATAGCTTGGTTTCGTTCAGTGAATTGACAACATCCAGTTTATACTACTTTTAGAGCTAATTTGACTCGACTAATGGTATACACTGGTTGGCCCAGGATTTTAGCGTCGGACAGTTTTCAAAAAATTAAATTGTCAGTAGAAGCCGAACTATCCACGTTCCAATGGCGGCGTTGCCACAAAAATTGAGGTGGAATAGGGACAGGAATAATAAAAAAAGTAACAAAAGAAATGCAAGGTATTGAATACGTGTTATTGCAATATCGTAATTTCCGGTTCTTATTTTTCTTCCCAACTCCTTATGAATCGTATTTAGTGCAAAATCAATATAGTGATACTGTGCGACGAAACCGTGTTGACTTGAAAACCCTTTAAATAAGTTTGTACCTACTTCGTTAGACAAGTTAGGAAACCTGATAGCCTAGGAAGTCAAGTCAATTAAATTTATTGGTTTTGATATCGACTATAAAAAAAAATAGAGACACATAATTTTTTTCGAATTTCCAAAAACTGGATCGTGCGTTATTTTCACTGTATCATTTTGGGCTAGGCATACCCACAAACATAGGGTACAGTTACACCTTTTTATTAGTTATGATTCCTGAGAAATGAGTTACGGTTGTAATGCAATCGATTTTGGGCCATAAAAGGTTTGTTTGAGGAAATTCTAGTTTTGGACTCATCATTCTATTTTCGTGGGATACTTAATTATTGCACCCTGTATAATATACTGAATGACATATTTGTACCAAGAAGACGTTAGAATTGTTTGACCAAGATGGCATCGATTTTAGCAAATAGTCTATATCGTCTCCCAAATGACCTGAGATACATGTCATGTCAAAGCTGCGTATGCGTCTGTGTAGGAGTCGTCAAATCACATAATCTTTTACCCGTAATGCCCCACACATGTTCAATATAAAAATTTTCTTGATGTTTTCAATAGCGCTGCTGTCGATACATCATTACATTAAAAAATTTGAAACAAATAAACTTTTTGAAACACTAGGAATCCGAATCAAGCAAAATCGGCTGGTCGGTCTGTCGGTGTGTACGCTCATTTCCGGTTAAATGGCTGAATGGATTGGAACCAAATTGGTTTTCGATTGCGCTGCTGTTGATACATCATTACATTAAAAGATTTGAAACAAATCCTTTTTTACTTTGTAGTGTATATTCCGCCTCTTAGCAAACCAATATGAAACGATATATATAGTTTCTATCATTTTCTTTGGAAACCTTATCTCTGTTGCAGGTTGCTTTCATATTTGGTCGCCCGGTACCAACAGTCCGCGAATTTCAAGAGCGTCTCAGTGGAAACACATCGGCCAAGTAAGATAGTATCAATAAATGTCTGAAAACGTTGTGGGGTGGTAAGCGGCACATAAAGTGTATATCAGCGAAGTTCTCCTACTTCCTACTTTTCTGACGGAAATACACCTTTTGAAAGACTAGGAATCCGAATCAAACTATACAAAATATCTCGATGATATCTGCCGGTCTGTCTGTCTGTTCTCTCGTTTTCAGCTAAACGGCTGAACCAATATTTGGAACGAAATCTGGTACACATATTCTTAGACTTAGAAAGAAGAGTTGAAAAGCTTTTTGGCAAAATCGCGCATGCGCAAATTTCCATATCATTAGGCGTTTTTTCGCGTTGGCCAGTTCAAATGACCATTGAACGTGGTCAAGAATTTCCTGTTTTCGCGCTCCCGTTCAATGAATTTCTAACCTCTACAAGGGTCTCGCAAGATTTACCCGTTCATGACCAGGTTGACCGTACTCCGCCGCTTGTTTTTAGGTTTTGAATTGTAAGGTTAGGTATACGTAAGAGTAAATATTGGATGTTTACGCCACGGCGAACGGTTATTTTTCCAATTATGTTTAAAATTACTTTTTTCTCCAACCACCTGAATAAGACGCTATTTTGTGACGGTGTTCGGTACGTAAAATTGACGTTTTGCGGATTAATCGCTTTCATCATGGCAACTGTACAAAAAGTGGATACTTTTGGTCCTAGTACCAAAAAGAAATTGACCTTGAAAGTTGACCAATTAAAAAATTACAATCACGGAGATATGTCACATTGACATCGGTTTACATTGCAGGTTGTAAGATATTTCTATACATACAAATCAAATATTTTTGCATATTCAATGCAAATAATGCTGTTACCTACGTATGTACATGTATTGAAAATGATTTACGCTCGCTATTTTTATTTAAATCATGTGTAACGTAATTTACATATTCGGTGAACGTAATTTTAATACGTATACAACCCGCCGTCGCGCGTAACGCCATCTACTTAAGACACATTGCACTATTATCTGTCATTTTGAATTCAAAATTTGAAAAAGTTAATTGCAATTAATTTTAATTAAAAAACTGTATGGTAAGTTTTTTATTTCAATACAAATATAACAATATTAATTGTGTATGCATTAGAAATGACTGAAACTGATAGCGACATGGATTGCACTCCGCCAGAGATTATAGAAACGGCAGAACATGCTAACTCAAGATTTGCTCCCTACAAAGTCACGAGAGGTGAGAAGTAAGAACGAATAGGTTATTATAAGTTAACCTAAAAACTAGAGTGGCATGACACGTGAGAACAAGAAAGCAGATGTTCTTATACTAGTAGTGAAACTGTGACTGAATCTAAATTCGAATATAATTTGAAGTAAAGGGGGTTGGAGAAAAAATTTTATGTTTTATTCGTACAAAAAATGCGTTTTCGGGACTCGGAAGGGTGCTGGACTCCGCTGACGCGTCGTCCAGCAACTATCTTCCTCGTCCCGAAAACTGACATTTTTTGTACTAATGAAACAAATAACTATATTGGATGATGAAACTAATAAAGCATATACCACACAAGTTGATCAGGGTACATACCAAAGAATTAATAATGATATTCTGCGAATTGTGGTTATGTCAAATGACCAACAACTCAATTTTCGCGCTCTGTTCAAATGACAGTGAATTTGTATTGACCAAATCATAACCAAGCGTGACCAGAATTGTTTGACTAGGTCAACGCGAAAAAACGCCTATTGTTAAACTATTGCATCGTGCGGGTGGCACCTGCGCTAGCCACAGCAAGTTTTTTTAATCTATTTAAACAGGGTCGCCATTAGGTGTGGAACCCAAGTTCTCACGCTAAAACCTTTTGAGACATGAAAATTAGAACGCTTCCATTTGTTATTATTTCAAATATTTTGAGGTTAGAAATTTTTTTTGGAACATGGTTTTTGAATGCGACCGCAAATTTGATTTTTTTTTAAATGCAAACATAGGTCATGTGATATGGTCATTAGAATGCTTCCTATGGCTGTGTGTCTGTCCGCTTGACATGCATATAGCACACCTCCTCGTTTTGCTCTTCAAAGTGGATTTTAAGTATATACACGTTTGTCACACATCTGCTATGCCAAGTCCGAAATAAGTACACATCACGACCAAAATAAAGGAGGGCGACACAATTTTCGGACCTTACTCCTACCTTTTTCATTTATTTTATTTATTTATTTATTTGTTTATTTATTTATTTATTTATTTATTTATTTATTTATTTATTTATTGATTATTTCTCTTGTTTTGGACCTCCAACAGGCTTTCGTCCAATTACAGAGTGAGCCCATAATTTCTAATAAGTTGGTATCACTAACTTGACTGTTACAACTTAGCGGTACAGTGTCTTTAACCCAACAAAATTTAATAACAGAGCGGTGAAGTAGGCCATAATGTGCCATTTGAGGCGCAGGTGACGTGACGTCATTAGTGACAGTACCGAGGTTCTCTACGGTTTCGAGTATTTTATTTTATGCACTTTACGAATCAAGAATGACTCTTTCACATTTCTAGACAAGAACCCATGCTCTTGGTTCAATCCACTTCTTCTGCTTTTTCTTATCCTTTACATACGAATATGGTAAAGTATGGCAAGAGCAAGGAATTCATGAAACACTATAGGTACTTACCTGATGAATTGTAATGCATCCAACCATTGAATAAAACCATCACCTTTATTCAATTATCTACATAAGTAACTTGAAAATGGTGTGATTTGTCAGCTAAAATATCTTATAGGTAGCAACTAATCTAATAAAATCAATCAATTACATAGGTATGCCCATACTTAGATAGGGCTTATTAATATCGTACTAGCAGTCCTTCGCTTACGGACAAACAGGTTGTGGGCAGCAATCTGGATACGGTTTACTAAGATCTTCTTCTCCCATATAACATGGCTTGGAGACTGATGCAACTCCGCATCTGGTAAGACATAAATAACAATTTAATAAGACTGTGGTCCATTGAATGCTTTATTTGATTTGATTATGCGCGAAGTTTTAGCTGACAGTTTCTCTCTCAACCCACTATACAATTACAAACAGCCGTGCCTTACCTAGAATTCGAACCCAGGACCTTCCTATCCAATCAGTACCTATGACAGCTTCTAACTTACCCAGCAAATTGAATTAATCCAGGCGAACAGGTTATCCTAACACAACCAGTTGCTGGTCGACTTTCACCAATTTTTACTTTTCCTGTAGACGGATCGGAGCTCTCACAATATTCAGAATTGACTGAAATCGTCCAAAGTTTGGTTAGTTGCATATGGATGATTATTATTAATAATACCTGGAACTTGTTCTAAGCTTGTCCATCCAAGCGCTACGGAAAGAAATGCAAAAATACACACAAACGTTGTTAGTATCTTCATGATTGCTCAAAGATTTCTGAACATAAACATCAAACCGCTGTCAATCTCACTTTTTATATTGATCAGACCGGGTTACTAAGATATCTTAATTAAAAACAAGCTAATTATTAATTAATAAACAAATTGTGCAACAAACACCCATTTTCGCGAATGTTACTTAAACATTTTAACTAATCGTGCCTATAAGAAGGTTCACCAAATATTAATATTTTCTGAACTATTTATCCAGGATCTATAAATTGCGTAATTCGTCCATATTTCCTGATTGTCTTGGTATATATAGGGCCCAAGTTTTTAGCGTCGGAAGATAGCTCATTATCTGTACATTTTTCAACGGTTTGGTTAAACGAACTATGTATACACTTGTTTGGGTGGATGCACCGCTCGAAACGACCCTCCTTATTTTGGGCCAGATTTTATTGGCTTTGTTTGTCATTTTATAATTCGCGGTAATGTGAGACCGGATGTGACGGGATGTAGCACTTCTCTTTCGTTGACTGAGCTCTTAATTTTTGTTCTACTACGTCGAACGGAGAAGTGGTAGCACTCAGGACTGATTGGATACGAGAACGCGAATTGGAATAACATGCGATTTACAACTAAAATTTGAAGGCTCAATTTTGGCCTCACTGACAACCGCAATTACATGGTCTGTGGTTTACAGGACGAAAATTTAAAGTTCAGTCTCGCTGCCGACAGCTGCAGTTAACTATTTACAACTATCCTAAACCAGTACAAAATTCTTTGAAATACTTCAATTTATCATAATGATATAAAAAAATTTAGTCAAATACAAAGAAACAAGAAAAATGAAATAATAATCCTTTCAAATAATTTAATATGATTTATGTTAACCACATGCTCGAATTACAGATATTTATTTATATTCCCATACTAAGATAGAGCTTATTAATACCATACTAGCATTTCTTCGTTTACACTCTACGGGCAAACAGGTTGAGGACAGCAATCTGGATAAGGTTTACTAAGGTCTTCTTCTCCCATATAACATGGCTTTTCGATTGACGCAACTCCGCATCTGGTAATGAAGACATAAATAATAATTTTTCATAATACCTATCCGTTAAAATGACTTAACTAGTAATGTCAATGTGATTGATAAGCGACTTATAACGGCCTTGGTCTGTTAATTTCCATAACATTTATAAACCATCGACCCTGTGATGTATCAGAAACGTCAAACTTAACGTGCAGCTTATCTACCAAAAAATGTTATTTTGCGTTATTTAGTATGGGTAAATTACAGATACTCTGCACGTTAAGTTTAATATAATAATAACATCTATTTCTTTAAAAATTGTTTTACAATTATAGAACGTTAGGATACATCACAGGACTGAATTTTTCTATTGCAACGGGAAACGACAACAACCCTTGAACTATATAAGCATTTTTATTTGGAATTTTATTTTCCAAATCTGAAATTGGGTTATTTTCGTAGGTATTATGAACGTATTTCGGCCGATATACAAATATCGGACTTAGTTGAAATTCAACTGCGTCCGTTATTTGAGACATATCGGCCTAATTACGTTTTCTGATTAATTTAATGTCTTTATTTTATTTTATAATGGGCGAAGTATCTAATCGGTGCCTATGACAGCTACTAATTACTAACTTACCCGGCAAGTTCAATTAATCCTGGCGAACAGATTACCCTGACACAACCGGTTGCTGATCGACTTTCACCAATTTTCACTTTTCCTATAGATGGATCTGTGCTCTCACAGTATTCAGAATTCACTAAAAAAATCCATAGTTTTGATAGTTGCAAAATATGTATGTTTAATAATACCTGGAACTTCTTCTAAACCTGTCCATGCAAGCGATACGGAAAGAAATGCTAAAACACACACAAACGTTAATAGTACCTTCATGATTGCTCACAGATTTCAGCACACAAACATCAAACAGCTGTCAATCTGGCTTTTTATACAGATCAGGGACCGGGTTACCAAGATAGCCTTCATTAAACTGAATAATACAATCAATTTCACATAGAAATGTGTCATAAGCTACATTAATAAACAAATTATACCTACAAGAAACGCTCATTTTTATGAATGTTGCTTAAAAATTTCAACTTATCTTGCATATAAAAAGTTCACCAGATACTAATATTTTGCGAACGACTGAACCATTGAATATGTAAATTGCGTAATTCGTCATATTTTAAATTCGGTTGTCACGATATACAGAGTGGACCAAGCTTTTAGCGTTGGAAGATAGCTCAACTGTACATTCTTTCAAAAACTTTTGCAACAAATTGTCACCCGAACTATCTACGTTTCAACGGCCTTCGCAAAAAAAGGAGTTTGAAGTTCCGGCTCCTATGCATGTGTGGTATTCCGAGTCCCAGCCCCTTATGAGTAAAATTTGGCATGGAGACAAGGTAAATTAAAGACATGATAAAAGATGATATTTATTCCTTAATTAACAGTTTGAAAATGAACTCTTTACATTATTTACAACCCACACAAACATTTAATATAAATTCGCCATGGAAGGCAATTAGAGGAAACCTGGGCTCAAAACGCAACAACTGTACGACTGGTTATCGCGGCGGTATTTTATAATAAAACACAATTCGGTTGGGTCTTTGCCACCCATCGGTAGTAGTTGAAGGTGTAAACGTTTGTTACACAACTGGTCCGAAATAAATACACATCATGACCAAAATAAAGGAGAGTGATAGATTTTTGGATCTTACTGTATATAGAATTTTTATTTAAATTTTAACAAGTTTTTAACTATTTACATAAAGCGCATTTCCACTTGCATTCATTTCCCATTATTGTAAGATGCAACTTCTATTAAAATCGTAAAAATCCGGCCACAAATATGAAAGATAGCGTTGCACATGGGCAATCCATTTTTGACGTGCTACTTCAATTTCAGTTTATGAGAAGAATTTCATTTCAATGCTTTTCTAAATAAGAAAGTTGGAACTGCGCATGCGCAAACCTAAATTTTGAAACTAATGTTAGATTTTCCTTTGTTCCAAGCGCCTAAGTATCAAATTTCAGTTAAATGCTTCCATAGATAAAAAAGTTGGCACTGCGCATGCGCAAAATAAAATTTTGAAACTGGCGCTAGATTTTCCTTTATTCCAAGTGCCTATGTATCACATTTCATTTAAATTCTTCCATAAATAAAAAGTTGGCACTGCGCATGCGCAAAACCAAATTTTGAAATTGGCGTTTGATTTTCCTTTATCCCAAGTGCCTATGTATCAAATTTCGTTTAAATTCTTCCATAAATAAAAAAGTTGGCACTGCGCATGCGCAAAACCAAATTTTGAAATTGGCGTTTGATTTTCCTTTATCCCAAGTGCCTATGTATCAAATTTCGTTTAAATTCTTCCATAAATAAAAAAGTTGGCACTGCGCATGCGCAAAACCAAATTTTGAAATTGGCGTTTGATTTTCCTTTACCCCAAGTGCCTATGTATCAAATTTCGTTTAAATTCTTCCATAAATAAAAAAGTTGGCACTGCGCATGCGCAAAACCAAATTTTGAAATTGGCGTTTGATTTTCCTTTATTCCAAGTGCCTATGTATCAAATTTCGTTTAAATTCTTCCATAAATAAAAAAGTTGGCACTGCGCATGCGCAAAACCAAATTTTGAAATTGGCGTTTGATTTTCCTTTATCCCAAGTGCCTATGTATCAAATTTCGTTTAAATTCTTCCATAAATAAAAAAGTTGGCACTGCGCATGCGCAAAACCAAATTTTGAAATTGGCGTTTGATTTTCCTTTATCCCAAGTGCCTATGTATCAAATTTCGTTTAAATTCTTCCATAAATAAAAAAGTTGGCACTGCGCATGCGCAAAACCAAATTTTGAAATTGGCGTTTGATTTTCCTTTATCCCAAGTGCCTATGTATCAAATTTCGTTTAAATTCTTCCATAAATAAAAAAGTTGGCACTGCGCATGCGCAATACCAAATTTTGAAATTGGCGTTTGATTTTCCTTTATTTCAAGTGCCTATGTATCAAATTTCATGCAAATACTTTTATAAGTAAAAAAGTTTGCAATTCGGTTTATAAATGGTCGAGATGCGAAAAGGGCACTGTGAATTTTGAATCGATTCGATTCAAATTTTGGCATTGCGTATTATATGGCTAAAGCTATGCCCATATTGAATTTCAGGCAATTCAGTTCATAACTAACGGAGATGTAAAAGCGATCGAACATTTCTAAACAAAGTTATCGTTCACACGGACAGATAGATGGACAGACAGACAAAGGAACAGACGGACAGACCAGCATGCAGACCACAGATAGCAATGCAAAATTATAAACGATCTCTAGGATCGTTAATAAACGGCAAAAGTGTAAAATTATAGAACATGTAAAAAAACGGTTTTTTGTTTTTTTTACAATAACTTTTTTTGTAAGCGGTACAGAAAAAATTCCTTCCTTGGAACAAGACTCGACACCATAACGAACCAAATAGCGAAAAAAGTAGAACAATAGCTCTTAAGATAAAGAACTAGTAGCGTCGCAAAACGAGCGGACGGACGGANATTCGATCCAACTTTTGGCATTGCGTATTATATGGCTAAATCTATGCCCATATTGAATTTCATGCAATTCAGTTCATAACTAACGGAGATGTAAAAGTGATCGAACATTTCTAAACAAAGTTATCTTTCACACGGACAGATAGATGGACAGACAGACAAAGGAACAGACGGACAGACCAACAGGCAGACGACAGATAGCAATGCAAAATTATAAACGATCTCTAGGATCGTTAATAACGGCAAAAGTGTAAAATTATGGAACATGTAAAAAACGGTTTTTTGTTTTTTTTACAATAACTTTTTTTGTAAGCCGTACAGAAAAAATTCCTTCCTTGGTACAAGACTCGACACCATAACGAACCAAATAGCGAAAAAAGTAGAACAATAGCTCTTAAGATAAAGAACTAGCGTCGCAAAACGAGCGGACGGACGGACAGCCGGGAAATGCGCTAAAAATGATTGAATATAGGGTACCTATTCCATTTATAATAAGTTGGCACCACTAACTGGAAACTATTTTAGATGAACTGATTTTATGGAAATTAGTCTATTCTCATCACATTCTAAAAATACTCCCTTTCGAGTTGTCAGTTGACCAATTAGTTATTTGTTTCATAAGTACGAAAAATGGGCGTTTTCGGGACGAGGAAGGGTGTCGGTAAATTAAGTTCTAACCTCACTTTATTCCATTTGATTGTAGAGGTACAAATTTGATGTTGAGGTTGATCCGTGTTACAGTTGGAGTTCCTCTTGCGTATTTTAAATGACTTTTGGATTAATATAAACATAGACATGTTTCAGGTTTTTATTAAAGTGACAACCCAAGTCATGTTCTGAATGACAAGTAAGTTAATGACATTTGATTGGTTAACATTCAAAATCAAATTACTTTTTGGACTAGTCCGAAAAGTACCTACTCTTTGAACAGTTACCATGGTGATACCGAAGACTCCTGAAATCGACTATTTCTTGTACCAAAAAGTGTGAAAAAATAGGGCCGATTCAGGTGGTTGGAGAAAAAATCAATAACGCTCGAATTACATATATTTATATGCCCCTACTTAGATAGTGCTTATAATACCAAATTAGTATTCTTTCGTCTACGGGCAAACAGGTTGAGGACAGCAATCTGGATACGGTTTACTAAGATCTTCTTCTCCCATATAACATGGCTTTTCGACTGACGCAACTCCGCATCTAGGGGAAGACATAAATAAGAATTTAATAAGACTGTGATCAACTTAATGTCTTTATTTTATTTTATAATGAGCGAAGTAGCCAATCAGTGCCTATGACAGTGACTAACTATATCAACTTACCCAGCAAGTTCAATTAATCCTGGCGAACAGTTGATCCTAACACAACCGGTTGCTGAGCGACTTTCACCAACTTTTACTTTTCCTATAGACGGATCTGTGCTCTCACAGTATTCAGAATTGACTAAAGTAATCAAAAGTTTTGTTAGTTGCAAAAAAATGTATATTTGTTAATAATACCCGGAACTTCTTCTAAGCTTGTCCATCCAAGCGCTACGGAAAGAAATGCCGCAATACACACAAACGTTATCACTACCTTCATGATTGCTCAAAGATTTCTGCACTCAAACGGCTGCCAAACTGGCTTTTTATACAGATCAAACCGGGTTATCAAGATAACCCTCATTAAATTGAATATTATAACGGATTGGAAATACATAGAACTGTGCGATAAACTAATTATAAACAAATTATGCAACAAACACACTATTTCTATAACATATTCGGCAACTATTGGGGGTATTAACAATTGCATTTGGATATTAGATTACAGTTGGGATAACTTTAGGGCAAGGATGATTTTAAACGCTTTATGAGTGACTAGGCATTTGACACCCCCTTTAAATCTTTAGATGGCAACATGCAAATATCAGTACACACATCATAAACACAAACCGTCTCGAATGATAATAACATTGATAATGTAATAAGAATCAACCCCTAAAGAGCATCTAAAAAAGCAGCAGAGCACCTCGGTGAGACCCTACGTGGCCACTGGATTTGACCAATTTTCAATTAGCTTGTTACTTGTGGCACATAGGGCAACTGTGCAAAGATTGAACCAAATCAGTATCTAAGGATCGTCTATTGGCTGTCATCGTTGCTAGTCAGTTTTATTGGATATGTAAGTTTTTGGAAAGGTAAGGTGGATTTTGGTTTAAATAGGACGGACATAGAAGAGAAGTTTGGAGGCCAAATTGCAATTCTTTTGAAGAAACTTTTTGCTAGTTCCGAGGTCGAAGCGTTGTCCGTCGTTAGTGACAATTTTGTTTGTCGGATAAGGTTTTCGAAACCAAGCTTTTTGGTTCGCTTTGTATAGAGGTTTATTTGCCATTGTACAGTACCGTTCGTTTTGGAAGAGATAAGGAGTTGGATTTCGCCCGGTTGCGCGGCCGACTACGTTTTGGTTTGGATTTTGTTTAACAAACACCCTTTATATTTGCTTGTAGGTATATTAAATTTTTTTTTTTTTTTTAAAGGTGCAGCTCATCAACTACTGGGTTATTAGTGCTACACCCTCCTTTGATCGTTAATCGCAAAACGAGTGTACTACTTCGGAATTATAGTAAGAAGAAATAAGGTAAGAACAAGTTACACATATATTCACGTCTTCGGGTCTGTGAAGACGACGTACTTGAACACACACAAGATAAGACCTCGGATAGAAGGAAACAGGTAGTAACAAAAGGTAAGAAACAGAGGAAAAAACCTAGGGAAGAAATACATGTACTATTTCAGTTTTGAAAAACCACAAATAAACGACGTTCATCAGAATTCTTTGTCCAATCTAGTAATCCTAGCGAACAGGAGGATAGTTTTCTGGTTATTTGGAGACAGTGCTTCTTCCAGTGTGAGTGGCACCCGTAACGCCCTTCTTACATTCTGGTACCTCGTACATTCTAACAATAAATGGGAAACGGTGATTTCAGTGTCGCATAGGTCACAGATATCTGGTGCGGCTTTTTGGAACAGGTGGGAGTGAGTGGTTCTAGAGTGGCCAATTCGCGCTCTGGTAAGAAAAATCTTCTCTCGTCTTGTTCCGATAGCAGGCCATGGATCGACTTTTGCTTTTACGCGTCGGAGTTTGTTGCTTTTTTGACTTCAGGGCTTGATTTTTTGGAATAACAAATTCTTGTGTTTTATTTGTATTTTGTGGAGAGTCAGGGGTGCTGAGTGGTGAAAGTGATGTAGTTGATGTTGGGTTATTGGTTGATACTGATAATGGTCTCTATTTAGATTGGATTATTGGATTTTCAGCACTGGGAGTGACGGCTGTACAATTTGTGGTTCAAGAGACAGAGTTTCATCAGGTTGTAGTGGTTCGTCTTGCTCAACTCTTTGGGGTAAAGAGTCTTGCTCAATTTTTTGGGGTAAAGATTCTATCAATTCATTCGTATTAGACGTATTTTTATCTGGACATTGGTCAGCTCGATGTCCTGTCAGTTTACATGAAAAGCAAATATACTTGGACTATTAAGGATCATATTGTTTTTGCTAAGTAGCAAGAATATCATCCAATTTTGTTAATTGTTGTCCTGTCCAAGATATATCGCAGTAATGTCCAATGATTCTTTTTGCCATTCTAAGGTTTGACATGTTTTGCCTTTGCTTAAAGCCTCTAGTGACCCTTTTGAAAGCTGTTTGTACAACTTAACATATATCCACATTTTTTTTATTTTTATTATGTTTTGATGATGCATGTATAGCTACACATGTCAGGGTGTCACAAATTGCTTGTTTTCGATGTTTTTCGGGGATATTTAATTAAGAACTAGAGATAGAGTGATGCGGTAAGCGGTTTGCACTTCTCGGAGATACTTTTCAAAGCTGCCTAGATTGACGATGCCAATTTTGACGCGAACGTAGCACTAGCGAAAAAGTTAAAAAATGCAATAAACAGTTTTTGCTTTATAACTCGGTTATTTTTATAGTTTCTGACCCCCGCCTTAGTTTTCTAGTGGAATGTACTTATAATATTGTTTGAACTATTTGCTTGTTGCTCTCTAATTAGAAAACTGCTCGTATTGTCGTCAGGATGTTTGATAATAAAAAAATTGAGATACACAGGCAAAACCGTTATTCAGTCTTGAAAATTAAATACAAGTAGGCCGTGGAATATATTTCAGGTAATGCTCACAATAATAACAGTATTTTAATCAAAATTGCTCATCATATATTGTCTACTACTCTACTTCTTTTTGATATAATGCTTGCACTAATTTAATGTTCCTCCATCTACGAACAAATAGCTTGAGGACAGCAGTGGGGATGTTCTTTGCTGAGATCCTCTTTACCAAATCGGCAAGGTGGGGGTCCTGTAGCGTTGCATCTATGATTGAATGCACGGTTGAGTTATAGAATTCAAAAAGAAACCTTGATCAATTTACCCTTCATATATGATCAGTCCTGGAGTACAAGTCGCTTTGACGCACCTTCCCGCTAACCTACTTACGCCAACTTTCAGCTTTCCCACAGATGGATCCGAGCTTTGGCAATATTCGGGATCGACTAAACCAAAAATAAGTTTTAGTAGTTGCTCAACACGCATACATCATACTTTCAACGGTTTCTTTGCCTATCCATCCAAGAACTGAGGATAGAAGTGTGAATGTGAGCACTACCGCGCATGGCACCTTCATGATTGCCTCGAAAGACTGCGTCCAAACAGCTTTTCATCCACGTATTTGTACAGATCAGGAGCGTGCCTTGATTCCAATCAATTTACAAATGATGGCCTGTGATAAGCAGAAAACAATATGTTTATTGTGAAATTACAGTATATCCATCGCTCTTCAGATAATGCATATCTATTTTAAAGTGCTTTATCATTTGTATGGTCAAAGAAAGGAAGTGGATTATTATAGTTATTTATACTATCTAATTATCTACAAAATTACGAACATAATAATAGGACCGTATATTATCAATAGAACAAATAAATTAGGAAAAACAGCGTATCTGGTATTCCATAGGTTTAAAAATGATTTACTGTTAATCACCAGTTTATCAATGAATATTTGGTGTAGGTATAACCCTCTTTCTTGAAAGTTTTATTTTAGATCAGTCAGATTATTTTGTAATGCCTACCATAGCTTAAAAAAAACAATCTATGATGAAAGTAAATCTAATAACGGTTTCAAAATTACTTTTTTCTCCAACCACCTGAATAAGACGCTATTTTGTTATGTATACTTTTTGGTCCAAAAAATGGGCGATTTGGGGAGTCGTCAGTATCATCATGGTAACTGTCCAAAAAGTAGGTACTTTTCGGACTAGTCCGCAAAAGTAATTTGACCAATCAAAAAATTACAAATAGTTGTCATTGACCTGTCATTCAGAACATGACTCGAGATGTCACTTTAACAAAAACCGTAAACATGTCTATTTTTATATTAATCAGCACTTGCACATCAACTTTCAACAAGATCGAAATAAATGTCAACTTTCTATAGGAAGCGCTGTCAAGACTTGTTTAGACGTGCAAGATTTTATTGCAGGAATGACTTGCCGGGCTGAGCTCTTCTATCACCGTTTACATTATGAGAGTTATTGGGAAGTGCTCTCCGACACAAATTTGTGATAGTTTTACTATCCCGTGTAAATTACGTTTTAGTGCGTGAAAGAAATAACTACCTACAAAATGTTGTTTTACATTAAAACATTTACAGATTTACAAATGGAATTGAAAATTACAGCTTCGGTAACATATGTTCGCAGTTAACATGTAGGAGCTTCAAACATAGGAAAAACTAAGACTTCACAGTACATACGAAAAGTAACTTCGCAATTCAATTCATGTACGATTAACTAATATGGGCAACTTCGCACAGTGCTTATATCCGCATGCTTTGGTTGTGAAAAAAATATGTTTCTAGGTAAACAGTTTCGCACCTTCAAGTAAGAGTAAGGAGATGTTCAGCATCCTAGACCTAATTCTATGCACTCCAATGCTTCCTGTACTTGTACCAGTAAATTTCGAAATTAAACTTGTCATCGACCACTTAAAGAGAATCTTAGGTTAATAAAATGTACCCGTTTATGCTACTTACTTGATTGTACATCTTGTCGTATTTGATTAAGCAAAAATAAGATGTTTCGTGTTCATATTGAATTGTTCTAAGATATTTACTTCATGTTTACTTTCATAAGGAGGCTAACTTAACCTAAAAAAATATTAATAGAGTGGCACCCAAAAGATGAAGCAGTGGTCGACAAACGACAACTACAAGAGCGTGCGCAAACACACTGGGTAAGTAAAAAAGTGGTTGGAGAAAAAATTTTATGTTTCATTCGTACGAAAAATGCGTTTCCGTGACTCGCGTCGTCCACCACCACCCTTCCTCGTCCCGGAAACGTGCATTTTTCGTACTTATGAAACAAATAACTATTTACGCATGGCGTATGTTTTATTTATGAAGGTATTCAATGAAATTTCTAATGTAGACATCCAAATAAAAGTTGAACTATTATTTTCAAAATGTTGTGATTGCGCAATAGTATTTCGAAAGTATGTAAAGAATTTTATATGTAGACACTTCCAATAAAAGTAAAACTAATGCCCATTTCAAAATTTGTTTATATTTGTATACGCTCCACTATACAGGGTGCCCTTTAATTATGTATGGAATATAGTATATATCTCGGTAAATATCGACTACATACAAAATTTTTTTATATGAAAGTTGTTTAACATTTTATTTCCTATAGTAAGGCAGCATTCCATTGCTTTTATTTCAGATAAATAACGAAAAACATTTTTTTTAAATAGCAATGGACATTTTCATTAGGTTTATTTGATAGACATTTTTTTCTCTTTTAAATGACGTAACACGTTAGCACCCGTGTAGAAGAAATTAATTTTTTTATCCTATACAAGGAGAAACTTACATTTTCTCGCCTGTGTGAGGACGCGAAAGAAGACAATTGCACGCATGGAGCGAGAAAATTCAATTTTGTCGGCTAGGCGAGAAAAAAAATACGTCTTATGTAAGCTAGATGGCGCGGTTGTAATAAAATGTCAAAGAAGTTATTTCTTTTTAATTAAATAAGAAACATAAAATCGTCAACACTGATTTAATAATTAAATTTACCCTATGTTCACTTTATTTTACTGAATTCAAGAATTTATTTAATTACCGCGAACCTATACCTATCAATGTTTCGTGAATTTGAATACTTTCCCAATATCACGTGACCAATTCAAACTTAAGTCATAATCTCCTATTTGCTTTCAATAACGAGCATCTGTGTCAACACATTTAACACCGAGATGTACTTTGCACTTTACGTAGAACACCGCTTATCCGCAATAAGTAGCATTTTAACATACGAGACTACCCCGAAGTTAAAATGTGTCCAGTGTGACTAAGGAATGAATAAATCTATTTATAAAACACATTTTTTTAAAAATACAAGATCATCAAGGATTTAAAGTGTGCCCATTGCGCGTTCGTCACCGAGCATAAATCCAGTCTTAAAAGCATCTAACATTTGACAAGACATGGATCCTGCCAAGGATTTAAAATGTAACCGGTGTGATTTTGTCCCTTAAAACACACATTCAATTTTAAAACACATTTGTTAATACACAAGACCAGTAATATAATTTCAAATGCGCCTGGTATTAATTACAACCCCTTAAATCCCGTTATTTTCTAAGGAAATAATCACGCGCCAGTGAAATGCCGGAAATGTCAACTCAGTTCGCACATGATCGGTATTCTCCACTTGCACCTCTGCTGTGTTGCACCGTGACTCCCTTCGTTGACTCCGCACTGTGCAATCGCAAGCGCGCTAGAATTTGAATTTGCGTTGAACTGTATTATAAGGGAAAGAGGTAAATCTACGAGTAAAAATATACTCGTGGGCCCACTTAGATTGCACCGTTTCGTAAAATTTTTTTCGCGTAGTCAGCAGGAAACGTGGAAATAAACAAAACAAACGCGTGCACGTTGACGCGTTAAAGCAAATCCAAATTCAAGCGCTTGCGGTCGGACGTTGTTGAGGGATTAATTTTAAATGTAAGTGCATAGGATAAAAAATATTGTGTGCACCACGGCACGAAAGTTGTTTTCCGGGACTCAGGAAGTGGCCAGCCTCGGCTGCGCCTCGCCTGGCCATATCTTCCTTCGCCCCGGAAAACAACTACTTTCCTGCCTTGGTACACAAAGTACTATTATTTCAAGCTTTTTGCCACTGCCTTGTAGTTAATGGTGGACATTGTAAATATTCATTGCGATGGAAACCATTTTACTGCTAATTTCGTTTTGTCTTCAAGGTTTAATAAGAAGCGCACACGTTCATTTGTCTTATTTTAATGTAGTATATCGGGATTAATGTTATTGATCTAATTATAATAAAGTTTGTTGAAAAATTTTCTTGAATTAGGGTACCAACATGTTATATAATCAATGTCTATCAAATGAGCCTAATGAAAAGGTACACTGCCATTAAAAGAAATTCAATTGTTTTTAGTTACCCATTTGTTTTCTGAAATAAAAACAACTGAATAGAATATAGAAAATTTTTGTATACATTCGATATTTACCGAGATATATACTATATTCCATACATAATGGGCACCCTGTATTTTTCAATTAACTGTATAGACTTTGGCGATAGGTGGCTCATTTGAAAAAAGGGGGTACGGATCTCGTGCCTACAGGTATTTTTTCCGGCCTAGGTCCGTGTGAAAATTTTAGTGGTCCCTGAAGATTAAAGATCACCAATGCTAACTCACTGATTATTATGCATCGATTATTGCTTCCCTTTCCACATTCCATTGAATAAATATTGTTTTTATGGTTTTTTAGGTAATCTTTATTAATAAATATATATTTAAATATTTTTTGTCCGTGAGGAATAAAACGTTGGCGAGCGCTGGCCTAGGGTACCACAATTTGCCCTCAGTTTTAACTTTTGAAAGTAAGATATTCAATCAGGTTTGAACGATTCAATGCATTACTAACGGCCTACAATGCAGGTATAATCGTATACCGAGAAAAAGCTATACCTAGAATAAACGTCGATGGTTGCGTTGGTTACCATTGCATCAACCAATAGGATACATGTTGCAACGGCAGTTATTCCAAGATCAACTTATTCTGTGAATAGGCTTAATTGTAGAACCGGGCCTAAACAGAGAGAAAAATATGTAAGGCCGCACAAACAAAAGGTTGTATGTTATTTGCTATGGCGATTCATTGCGTTCCGCTCAATAAATAAGTATACATACTCGTATCTCATTATTTCTAGGACATGAGCATTGTTTGTTTATTAATACGAACCGTGTAATTGTTCATTACAAAAACACGTATAAAACTCTACTTCTACTTACCGATATACTACACTTACGAGAAATCGTAGAACAAGTTTTAAGAATTCGATTTGAATGCGAGAAATTGGCCGTTAAATTGATTTTTGGGTACAATGCGTTCTGTGTAAACAACCTGGCTTAATAAATTACACACCAATTTAAAAAATAAATAAGCAAGTGGCAAATTTTACTGTATATCTTTCACATCTACAATGACACTATAAATTAAATACAGTGTACAGGGTGACTTATTTGTCGTGCACTATTGTCCGCATTTTAAGGTCAAAGTGACACATGCTATGGTTTTGTTGGGATAGTCCCTGTTCTGCTACACATCATAGAACAATCTAAATTTACCTTTTTGTTCAAAATTTGATAGTTTCATCAAGACAATCTTGTAGCAGAAGAGGAAAGTTGTCCGCGCAGTCTCGACAGTAGGAACGCTTCTGTCGGTCATCTTAATTAGGACTGTCTTGAATAATTTAAGTTTTTTGCAATTTGTTGTTGTTTTTTTGTTATTTAACGCAAGTAGTAGAACTGCAGTTCTTGCTTTTCATTTGTATTTATAATTTTTCAATATCGATCATGTTATTTTATTTCGAGATCGGTTTTGTCAGAATTATTAGTTGTTAATTTCTTTTAAATAATTGCCTTGTTTATTTTATTTGTTTAATTTTGTTACTTGTTAAGAGCTTAGATTTAGACATTTCAGAATATATGTGAAGTTATTGTAAAAGTCTATCTTCGTTCTGGGATAGGAACTGTTATCGCTGCGCAGGCTAATCAATTCATTTCACGATACTCATGTGTTATCGCCGATAAGAAAACACAGGTGTAGATTATTCGAAGACGGCGCATTATTTTTGTAAAGGAAGGCGCTATTTGTGAGTCGTAGTCACCTGGTTGCTGTGCCGGGAGACGTAAATTCTCCGACATCGTATCTAGAGGTCTTTTTTTTCTATCTTACCTCGATCACTCTCTTCGTGTCGTATAGGGGCACTGGATCTCGATGTTGGTATACCAATATTAATTTGTTGCCGATATGGGGTTGGCTCGACCGGCAAACTTATCCACGGTTCGCTAACTCTTCTATGCTCAAACGACCATGACTAATATCGAGACTAAACCTATGCCGAAAAAACGTGCCGTACACTAAACAGAATAGCACATACTTCATTGAATCCAATTAATTAGGCATTTCCCAACTAAAACGTGTTTTAAGTATTTCCTCAATAAGTCAACTTTTTTAACAATGCTGTAAACATAAATAAAACGAATCTACAATTCCGTAATTATTTTAGAATAAGCCAAATGGAGCATCGTTATCATTACATTTTATTTTCTCTTTAAAGTAGTAACAAGATTCATGCCTTCCTCCTATTGCAAAATTCGTGCAAAAACCTGCAAGACAACTCTCAAGTCGACAAAAATTTAAAAGTACTTGAGACAATAAAACAACTATAAAAATAAGAATTTGAATTAACAAGGTGCAATATAAAAATATCTCCATTTAATGCTGGAGTTAATAAAGACGACAAGATTTTCTTCTGATAAAATGCTTGAAAGTTAAATCGTGATTTATAACTTTCTTATCATATAAGATTAAATTTATTCAAATTTTTGTTTGGGAAATATTAAATTTATATGGTAGTGGGAGACTGTAACTAAAGGGTTAAGGATATATGATCGGAATTTGATGCGGAGTCATTAAAAATTGTTATAATGGTTACTTTATCTCGCCACTTCATTAAACAAATCCAAACATAATTATCCCATTACAAACTCTTAATGTCTACGTATGAGGTAAAGATAGAAATTCAGCACTAACGAAGGGTATTTGACAATGTTTCCTTCTAGTGGTTTTCCACAGAACATGACTTGGAAAAGTTGTGCCTATCGTGTACATTAGCTGACATTTTTCAGCAGCTGTGCTACTATATTTTAGTTATTAGATTTTCTTTAAAAAATCTAGATTCTTTGACATTGACCTACAGCGTATTATATTAAAATGTAGAAAACGTAACGTATTTATTTTACAATTAGGTTATCTAATGAAGGTTATCTGTGGTAACCTAGCTCGCTCTGGCTAGCTATAAAACGACCAGACGCTGCAGTTTCAGGTATATGCAGTCATGAAGATGCAAATTGCGTTAGTGTTGAGTTTCGCGCTTTTTTCAGCAGCTCTTGGATGGACAAGCAGAGAACAAGTTGAAGGTATAGTCATCGCGCATTGTAGCAACTTAATAAATTTTTTTTGAAATTTAGTGGACCCCGAAAAGTGTGTGAGTTCAGATCCAAATGTAGGAACCTTAAAAGTTGGTATAAGTACATTACCAGACAGTTGCGTTAGGGCAACCTGCAGGCCTGGCATGATCGACCTCGCTGGGTAAATAAAACGGGTCTAGGACACTTCGCCGAATGCCCACAACGCCGACACGATTTTTTGAAGGTCCATATCGCCGACTAGGGACACTACGCCGACCGTGCCCACATCGTCGACAAGTGTGCAAGGGACACAACGCCGACCATGCCCACTTCGCCGACGGACACTACGCCGATCGTGCCCACATTGCCGAAACGTGTGCAAGGGACACTAAGCCGAACGTGACCACAACGCCGACTGTTCGAAAATCCAGGCCCCTCATACTCTGTCCAGTGTATGAGTTTGCATTTTAAAAAGTTTAAAAAACATGTCCTAAACCTACAAATAACCTAATATCCAAAGCTGCTTTGCTTCACACTCCGTCCAGTTTGATTAAGAATTTTCGTATGAGTCTGTAGTTCGAAAAAAGTTAAAAAAATATTCTGAACCTACAATAACCTAACGTCAAAAGCTACTTGGTGTTGCACACCGTCCAGCTTGATTAAGAAGTGTTGTATGAGTCGACGTTATGGTCACGTTCGGCTTAGTGTCCCTTGTTCACTTGTCGGCAATGTTGGGCACGGTCGGCGTAGCGTCCGTCGGCGTAGTGTCCCTAGTCGGCGATATGGACCTTCAAAAAATCGTGTCGGCGTTGTGGGCATTCGGCGAAATGTCCCGGCCTCAATAAAACATCGTATTTTGTTTGTGTGCATTTATGCGTTTATGACCAGGTGCGGAGTTGGGTCAGTGGGCAAGCCCTGCTACATGAGCGGAGAAGATCTGAGCAAACCATATCCAGAGTGCTGCCCTCGACCTGTTTGTCCAGCGTAGAGTAAAAGCTGGATATACCAAATATGTGACATAATGTGTAGGTATGCTTTTAGTTGTATTGTATTACAGTTAAATTTAACTGTTATGACAAATTAAAGACAAAGAAAATGTAAAAAAACTGTAGAATTAAGGGTACTTACTATTAACATCCGTTGCGGACGTCGGGTCTGTGTCAATCGCAAGTTACACTGTTCAAACCAAGAGGGAGGAACACTGCTTGAAATGCCACATTCTTTAAAACATTCTTACTCACCAGAAGCGATGTTTTCAATATTCAATATTATGCAAAAATGCATTGCCGCTGTCGGTTGGTACCATGCTCGAAATCATAGGGTGAATCAAATTTAAACAAGACTTTATTTTTAATATTTTTTTTATTATACTTACATTTAAAAAAAACAATTACAGGTTATTTTTCTACATATTGTCCTGCTTTCGAAACACATTATCCCCAGCGAATACTGAATATGCAACAAATTTCAATATCCCGTCTTTGTAGAACGAACTTTGTCGTGTCAACAGTCAATTGCGCACATAGGCTTCCACCTCAGCGTCATCGTTGAATCTTTGACCTCCCAGAGCGTCCGAAAACATGAAAATCGCAGAGTTAAAGGTCTGGACTATAGGAAAGATGCTCCAGCTTTTTCCAATCGAGTTACTTCAATTTTTATTGGGTCAGGGCTGCTATATTAGGACAAGCGATTTCTTGGAGAAGAATCCCATCAAATGGCGAGGAGCCCACCTTGAGGGACACTTTTCGCAACTCTAGCTTGTCTGTCATAAGAAAGTGCTACCTTATTAACTTATCCCGACTTCATCATTTTGCATATTCAATGACCTCAAGAAGTTGTCAAATGCGGCGAATGCTGTTGCCTGTGATCCCGATGCGCGCACGGAGATCGTAGCCTTCGTTCTCGACGCGTTTAGGCCTTTCTGCGAATTGTTTGAGTTATGCAAACACTCGAGCTCTTGAAGGCATCTCTTTCTGTTTCGTCAATCTCCGGGAACTTTCGGCTGCATTGGCCTTCCTAAGCGAGAAACTGAATAATAATGCGCTGCGCAACAGAGACGTGCCCTTCTTTTTTAGACATCGTGATAACTGACACAATAATGAACGGACAATGCCGATAAATTGCCTCTTCCACTCCTGATATCCCCGTTCAACACTAAGTGCTACCTAAAGTTTTGAAATTTCGCGCTCTGGGCGTACTGCGAATAGTGAGTTTACTGTGAGCTGTGACAATATTGTGAGTTGTTCGATGATTTCCTTGATGGTCGAATAACACATCTGTAATGTTAAGGTTAACAAAATAGATTTCTGCATCTATAGGTAATTGATGTTATAGTGACCTTCGGGATTATCATGTATAAATATAAATTTGCGTGGGTAATTACGCTTAAAGTTTCTTTTGAATCATTGAATAGTCATTCGAATACCATTCGCAGTCAAAATATTTCTCGATTATTTTTGAGGTGCTGTTCCACTCATGCTAGTTACGCATTTTAAATATTACATATAACTATTATATGTAACTATTTTATATATTATATATAACTAGCATTCGTGACAACACCTCAAACATTATCGACAATACTTTGAGTAGTCATGGTATTATGACAATTTTTACGTCAATACAGTAGTACCAACTACCATCAACCAACATAAATAATAAAGTCAATATGTTTTCATCATTTAATGAGGTTGGTGAAACGAGGTGCCCTTGGTATATTTCTTAAAATGGTCTTCTTTCACGATACTTAATTACATTCATTTTGGCAGGTTGTGATACCTACAGATCCATTGCCGTAGCAATAGTATGTAAAAACATTTTGAAATACGTCTACTTTTCAGATTTCCTATACACAGTAGTCAATGGCGAGATTGATGGATTTTTTCTGAAACTACATAGATACTTTCGTCTCTAAAAAGGGTTAATAAAATGTGATTTTCCTCTCTACTGAGGAAAGTAAAACAATTGCTGCGTTAATCTTAGTAATGACATTTCAAATTGAAACATACCCGCATCGATAATGACTATGTGTTAAACTTCAATATTGCATACGATAATTTATTCAATTTTGATTTTAGTTTCAGAAAAAATTATGTCAAACTTTTGAAATCTAGTTGAAAAACTCCACTTTCTTCATATTTTCATTTTTTTTTCTGAAACTACAATCAAAATTGAACAATTATCGTTTGCAGTAATGAAGTTTGACACATAGCAATCTAAATACGGGTAGGTATATGTTTCAATTTTAAATGTCATTACCATTATTTAAGTATTTAAACAATGTCATTACTAAGATTAACTCAGCAATTGTTTTTTACTTTCCTCACTAGAGAGGAAAATTACATTTTCTTCACCCTTTTTAGTGATGAAAGTAGTTGTTTCTAAAGTAATTTCAAAAAAAATAACTATTTTTCACTGTTGACGTTTTCCCGCACATTGTTCTATACATTAGCCGTTTAAAATCTAGTACTTCGTGCTTCGGAATGGGGTCATCCCGGCTTCATTTTTTATTTCTGATCTACAAAGTACATTAAAAATAAAAAGACCCGTGTGTCCTCAATTTTTATTTGCGAGTAAAATAAACCCAAAATAAATGATTGAAATACTGTGTTTTTAGTCCGAATTTGAAACGCTTCAGTCTAAATACGTCACAAACCTACAACCAATCACGTAGAAGTGAGCCGGTAACCTTGTGCGAGGGTCTGACGTTTGTCGGATTTGACGTTTTAAGATGCATGTTTAACTGCATCCACAACCGTCTATAATTACAAGCCGTGCTGAGAATTATGGCAACACTGCATAGTAGGCCGATTTCCTAATTCAACTTGGCAGATTTCAGGTGTATTTTATATATGTTTTGTGTGTAATATTCCTTTTTACCTGTTTTAACAGAGTGAGATTGCGACAATTTGTGTTACTCCGGACGAAATGAACAGAAATTATTATTCAGGTAAGTTGCTAAACGAAATATATCGATTTGTTGTCATAACCTCTAAAGCAGGCTACTCCTTACTGGACCCTTTACAAGCACTTGTATTTGTTCAAAGTAGGTACCTGTACAAGCTCAAATATGACCTACACACTACGTGGTACGTAAGTACGGTAAGTGTTTATTGTGAAAAAATACAATTAGTTTGTATTTCAGGTATTCTAGCACGGACATGTCAAGTCGATTTTATGAAGGAACCTTCCGACTTATTCCCAAGAGTTCACGGTACGGGAATTTGAAGTCTACGGTGCTCCCCAGCCATTTACTGTCCTTTTACCGAAATTATGTGCTCAAGCGTGTGCTTCACTTCGACCTCTTTCGACAGAAGTTTACCAATTTCGGAGATCTCGATGGAAAACACATTATGATGCAGTTACCAATTCACAGTGTTCCGAATTTTAACGTCAAATAAAAATGTTATTATCCATTTTTGTAAATAAATAAAATATATGTACAATTATAAGCTGCCTAAGTATTTCTCTTCTGTATTAAAACCACCAAGGCGAAACACAGGAGAGAGTAAAAATGCAATTTTTCAAGAGCAACAAGACGCCATTAAAACTTATATCGGCCCACCGATTGACTTTCGGACAACGTTGTCAAACTTCTCAGCATGGCTTGTAATTATAGACGGCTGTGCTGCATCTAACGCGAAAGTGAACAAGTGACAAGTGTCTGTGACAGGTGACGCAAGTTACAAATGACATTCTCCTGCAATATTGCCAATTCGTTATGTCATCTGAATGGTTCTAGGAGCTGATTGGTCGGGTTTATTACGTCGCAGAGGCAGAGCCCGCCACAATATATCGTTTTGAATAAACCTTAAAACCGCACATGTTCATTATTTTTTTGGTAATCAGCCTCTACTTTTAAATACACTTTTACCGTCCAAAAAAATGTTTTATGGTTTCAGGTACACGCTTATTAAATTAGAACTACGGAATTCAACTATACTGTAAAAAAATGTAAACCCCCAAAATGACATACATTCGACAAATCTGGGGGTCCATATTTTAAATCAGTCGCAGTAAATTCAAAGTTTAGGTACAATGGAACAAACAGACCAAAGGTACTTTGTCCAAACCCACCAGTAGCGGTAGGCCATAATTACAAAAGATTTGCGAAATTCAAGCAGATTAACGTACCCTTAAAAAGTTTTGACTCCACAACTAAAACGCCCTACAGACGGTACCATTTGTCGTACAACTTATCGTACGGCTTTAAATTTATACTACCGTCTGAACGATAATCGTACCGTGTGTAGCGACTTACTGTTTATCTTTGTAGAGAATTACGTCGCACGACAAGTTGAAACGATGTTTTTTATGACAGTGAGAAGACCAATGAGCCAATAAGAAATACAGATTTCTAGCGACGATGTCCTACTTACACTTTATACAATGCCAGCCAGATGTCGCTAGATTGAGCACACATTTTCAGGGGTGCCCCCATAGATATGGTGCCCCTACCATTGAATGCCCCTACCCATATTAGTATTACACACAGCACTTCCTCTACTAAACTTATGTTTTTAATCTAAATACCAAACATTACTCAAAGCATATCTTTTTCTAAGGAGTTTAAACAAATGGTTAATTGGTATTTCACTTCCTGTTTCTAGTAAATCAAGTTTCACTTTTATTATTCAATTTGTCATTTTCGCTGTTACCTGCGGCACAAAATCACGGCTATAGAAAACATTTTTTAATTTAAAGAAGTTGAACTAATTGAACTAATGCGTCTGGTAGGCATTCCTGCGCAATGTCGAAAGTAGGTACGCACCTTATAAAAAAAAACTAAGTGAAAAATTAATGAAATGTAGTTCTACAAGATTGGCAATTAAGATACTTTTTACCGATTTCTGTTAATTTATAAATGCTCGTGTGGGTTTTATCTCCATGCCGTTAATTGCACTTGTAATTAATCATCAGATATCTACGTACGCGCGCTACTTTAGTAAACCTCTTCATTTCAACGTTTGTTTGCTAATTAATTGTAAGCCGTTTTGCATAAGTGGATTATGTTAATGCGATCTGAAGTGTTCGTTGTTAAATGAGGAAGGAAAATTTGAAACGTGCAGAATTTCGGGCGCAACTGATCCGTATCACGAATCTCCCTCGATGAATATACAGAATTCCGCTCGCTTTGCATCGCAATTAACAATATCAATAAATAAATACCGGCAATATTTGGAAGTCGGCGATTGAATAATTGAGCTGTCGAAACGGCTCCTGTGTCTAAGCAATAATAAATCATACCCAGTTAGTTGTCTAGCGACGTGTTCTTCGATAGCTTGTCTGGCCTGAACAATTTCATGGGTGATTGCTATCTCTTAACCCGGACCTGTATTCATGCTTGATTAAATTGGATACACCTTCACAATTAGATGAAGTAAAATATTGAGATATTCGATACGCTCCCGCACGTATTTCTTTGGTGCAATTGGTTTCGTGGTCTACTGCCATTTTAAAAATCTACTATTAGCGCTTACGTGAAATATTAAATCTGGATCAACCTCTATCG